TTGAGCGTCAGACGCTGCTGCGTCTGACGTGGGGAAATCGGCTGCGTTGCCGCTGATGGGAGTGACGCTTGGCGGAAAAACAGTGTCTTTCAAGTAAAATTAGTTTCAAGACACTTTGCTTGAGTTGAGCAGTTATTCGACATTCGTCTGTTCAAGGTTTGTTTTGTTCCCTCTTTTTGTTCGAGATGAGTCCGTGGACCTACGAGGCCGAGGCTCCTCTGCTCCGAATCTGGCGGAAGAGCGAGGCGTTTTCTGAGAAGAAAATGATGTCGAGAATGGACCAGTTGTTTGAGTGGGTCATCGGCCAACTGGAGCCTGTTGACTTGTGAGTGTTGTGTTGTCGTCAAGAGCCCCAAAAAGGACAACCAGTATGACGAAGTCAGGAGAAACACAGCTGCGATGCGGACTTTTCTTGCCTGATCAATGACACTACAACTGAAAATGGCTTCAAATTCGGAAAGAAACAACAACGATCGTGCACGCGTGGACCTAGTACCTTTCGTCTTCTTGTAATCAAAAATCAATGAAAAATTCGAAAACTTTGTCCGACAATTTTTTTGTATAATAAGCAAAAGGCCGGTTTCCGTGGGAATCCGTGTCGTCATTGAGTTTTCCTGGTGGTTTTGTGACGTAGACAAATGCGTCAAGCCGCGGCAGTCATGAGCTGCTGAAAAAAACAAAACACTGTGTGACCCCGCGTCTCCGTCAAGTGTTGCGGCTTGACGCTGCGTCCAGCTTCAAACTGCCGTAGTGTGACCGAGGCCTTACGCGTCAATGTCAGCGGTGGTAAACCACCCACAAATTCGCACGTGCTGAATGGAATTGGGAATTGGGAAATGAAAAATAAAAATAAAAAGAGCAACGACAACAGAAATAGAAATACAATACAAGACGTACCTGCTAAGGGGCACATGACAGCATTGCTCAGATTGAACAGAGGACGCAGACACAGGATAAAGGGCATTGTCGACTCCGTTTTGAGAATAATCCAGTAAAATGGTGGCAGGTGGATGCAGATCCACGCGGTACGTTAAGAGAGGAATTTTGTTGGTATTTAAAAAAGACGTTAATTATTATTACCGCAGCAGTTATGAAAAGCAGAACTGTGATATTTCGTAGCAATATTATTTGGTTTTAGTCGTAGACGCCACTATTGGACTTGCAGACGTCCTTGCAAAGGTCCTTCCACTCCCCTCTGCCCTGTGCAATCTCCCGGAGGGAGAGGAGATCAGACAACGTCTTGAGTCCCCTCCGCCCCACTCTCTGCAGGTCACGGGATAGCACGATAGGCAGAGTCGTTCTTGGCCGTCCTCTCCACACTGTTTCCTTCACCTGGTAATAGTTAATCATAGCCGCCACAGCAGGACATCCGTCAGGCATGCGCAGTATACGGCCAAAGAGTCTCCATCTGGCTAGGCGAACAAAGTTAGATATCGGTTGTGCTTTGCACCTCTTGTAGAGAGCAGCATTGCTTGTTTGTCCAATGCAAATAATAATTATTATTATTGATAATCGCGGCTGTGTGTTATTTGTATGATCAACCTGCAGCATATCCGGCCTTTATCTATGCGCGCGACCTGCGAAAGCTCAAAACGCAAGTCGCCAGTCTGGAGAAGCAGTATAAAGCAAAGGTGAGAGCTGAAACCTTGTACATAACATTATAGTCTTAACAAACAAAAGAAAACGTGTGCAGTGTGCAGGATGCAAGTCGTTAGATGTCAGTGTCAGGTTGTTTTATATTGGCTCCAAAGGTGATTAAAAAAATTCTTAACTCAACTTCGGCACGTATGCCTACCGCACAGTTTTGGCTAGATCAAGATTTGGGTCCTCTTTCCTCAGTAGAGACGAGTCGAGCGAGCTGTGCGTACGGTGACGATGCAGGTGCGGCCACACCCCAGTGTGGCAACTTCGCCACTATCTACCTCCCTGTCCTCCCAAGACGAAGTGAATACAAGACACCAATGGCCATGTAAAGTTTCTAAAGTTACAATGGCTCTCTCTCTCTCTCACTCTCTCCCTCACTCTCCTTCTCTCTCTCTTTCTCTCTCAGGCTCTTACTCTCTCACCCACAACAATATCTCTCCCCCCTCTCCCATGAATGGTGCGCGATGTGCGCCTTACTCCCGAGGCCATTGGTTGGGGGAGTGCACTTCACCTCACCGGCACAGCTTTTATTAGTAATGCCTACACGCCATTTGTAGTTTAAGAAAACAACATTTTACTCTCACGATGGCCTGTGGTCAATAAGAGAAAAATATATACAGGGCCTGAGGCACGGGGATCGGATAAAGAGAAACCAAAATGTATCTGCTTGATAAACGATGCTAATGAAGAGCTTATCACACTGAGCGTTCACTGAGTGGGCACAGTGGGGCTATAATATTATCCTGAGCAATGGGAAGCAATTACATAAATTATAAATCTCGGCTGGGGTTGATTTCACGGAGGCTGAGTGGGATGTTCTTGAAGAGATCAAGGTAGCCATAGATGGGGGAGTCTCTTAGCCGGCTTATGCGTGTTGTGGGTAGCTCAAAGGTTCGAGGGAAACTGAGTGTGCGAATGGGTTGGATCCGCAGTAGGTGAATTGCAAGAAGGTGTGGTGGTGCATATCAATGATGCAGGCTTTGTGCAAGAAGAATATGGCAGAGGTTGTTTCAAATCTTTATTCTCACGATAGCCAGTTGCCAATAAGAGATAATAGTGTAAGCATGAGAGAGGAGAAAGAGTGAGCAAGAATTGGGTGGGCAGGGATTAAAGACTCCTTAGGTGTACGGGCAGGGGTGGCCGCTACACGAGCATACATTTTAATGTCGTTGTGGTTGTTGTTGTTTTTGTTGTTGTTGTTGTTGTTGTTGTTTTTGTTGTTGTTGTTGTTGTTGTTGTTGTTGTTGTTGTTGTTGTTGTTGTTGTTGTTGCTGCTGCTGTTGTTGTTGTTGTTGTTATTGTTGTTGTTGTTGTTGTTGTTGTTGTTGTTGTTGTTGTTGTTGTTGTTGTTGTTGTTGTTGTTGTTGTTGTTGTTGTTGTTGGTTTTCTATTCGATTCTTTGTCGACATGATTGTGTACTTTCATAAAACATTAAATATAAATTATCCATTTTTCCTTTTTTTCTCTTTCACGTTGTGCTTAGGTGGGTGATGAGAGCAGCTGCAATGTGGGCGTGGTAGGCCACAAGTACCTGAGCTATCACCCTCATGGACACGGAGGCACTACGCTTGCCAAGGGGCGCATTTCTCGCATTGAATTCACCAAAAAGCGCGACAACACCGTGCTGCACGTGACTTTCTCGCTGAACATCCGCGTGGTTGGAAATGGCGTGGCCAATCGCTGGTACATAACGGTCGACGGCGAAGAGTGCGTAAAGCCATCCAAGCTTGATATCGTCATGTACCAAAGTGATCCAAAAGAGAACAGTCCTATTCCGTCCGTGCTCACTGGAATCTGCCAGACCAACACAGCGGGACAGATCAAAAAGGGCACGCACAACATTGATTTCAATATTGGTCGCGTCAGAGACTACGCGCCGGGCACGCCGCTCTCAGGCTTCTACTCCACCTCGTTCTTCCAAGTGCAGGAGGTGTGTCCGGAGTTCTGAGTACCATTACGTTGCCTCCCTCCAAAGACCATCATGTCATAATTCTTTTGCCGATGATCACAGTTTAGTTTAGTAAAAAGGAGAAGGACTAAAATGTTACGAGTTCTCCTTCCTGTTCCTGCTCTCTTTTTTTCACCATAATTAAATTGGCTCACCACCCGAGTTTATTTAGTTTCAGTTTTATTCCAAGCAAATACATGCCTGGGAAAGTAACCAATGACCACTTTGTGCCACGATTGCAGGGTTTTTATTAATGTAGCCAACAATGTCTAGCAAGGAAAAGAGTGAGAAGTCGAAAAGGAAAAGATGAAAAAGAAGCAAATCAAAATAAAAGAAATGGAAACGAGTTACAAGTACAAGTGTGGAGCAACTATCCACGACTGTAACAAGATAATAAGCTGTCGGAAAGTGCACAAAGCTGGCAGGCTACTGAGTCATTCAGCGACCTGAGGAGCCCTAGCTCTGATAACACACCTCCAGTGCGCAAACCAACAGCCTTCCAGCTTGGAAGGTTCAATGTTATGGTAGGACCAATGCACTTTCTGACTGCTTATTATCTTGTTACAGTCGTGGATAGTTGCTTCAAAACTCGTTCCCATGTGATTTCTTCTATTTAAACTATATATATACTGGCTCAGTATCCGCAACTCAGTAACCTGAAAGGTCTCACGTGGAATTCTGGTTACACAAGGAGGGGCAGGCGGAGAATTTGACAGTGCGTTCGTTATCTTGGTGGACTGATAGAAACTCGTAACATTACGGTCCCCCAACTTAAGACTGATAGTTCACGTCATCGCAAAGGCATGTTTCTCAGCTCTCCAGGAAAAAAATTTGAGCGATCTGCGATGCAATTTCTTGAAATGGCAGAGAATTTGAGTTGGGCGCTCGCAATGCTGGCTTTGGAGCGCCGTATCGCGCTGCGGCGCTGGTTCTGTGGATCGAGTGATGTATTGCTGGCTATCGCTGTGTTCCTCTGGCCAAGAGCTTTCCAGAAAGCCCAAGATCACCAAAATCGGCCAAAGGACACCAAAGTTACGACCAGATAAGTACCTGGGCTCGCGTATGCAGTGCATTTCTTGAAATAATTGTGGGCTCTAAAGGGTTAAAGGTTTTCTTCTTATTATTAAAGTAGAGAATTGAATCACCTGACATCAATCACATGACCATGCAGAGCAGCCATGTTGGTCACATGACAGCGATCACATGACCATGCAGAGCAGCCATGTTGGTCACATGACAGCGATCACATGACCATGCAGAGCAGCCATGTTGGTCAACTGACAGCGATCACATGACCATGCAGAACGATCACATGACCATGCACAGCAGCCATGTTGGTTACAAGTCCACTCCAGCACTTTTAGCTGGCCTCTACACAAACTCTGAGTTTTGCAAAGCAATAAACATGTCGAACTGAAAAGTTATCCTTGCTCATATTGAAATTAGACAACGGTGAGTTACCTATTAAAGTCAGAGTTGAGGAAATTACACGCGGGATAATAGAAAATAGCCAGAATCCCCTAAAAACTACCGTCAAAAACACTGGAAAACCCAAATGTTGATGAAAGCGAAATAGCTAAGTGCCAGTGCGAAGAGCAGAGCACCACGTAAGCAGAGAGAGAAAGAGAGCAAGAGAGAGAGAGAGAGAGCAAGAGAGAGAGAGAGCAAGAGAGAGAGAGAGCAAGAGAGAGAGAGAGAGAGAGAGAGAGAGAGAGAGAGAGAGAGAGAGAGAGAGAGAGAGAGAGAGAGAGAGAGAGAGAGAGAGAGCTATTGTGAAAAGTACCAAAATGGAACTTGGTAGACGGCCTGGAACAGCTAGGCAGGGCTCAAATTCCAGAGGAACAGCAGTGGCACTGCAGCCCAGTCGGAACACAAACAGGGCGCTCCGAGTTCAACTCACACCGGAAAGGTGAAACGGCACGGCACAGTATGCGGGGTGCACAAACAGACACAGCGGCAGTACACACACACACACACGCACACACACGCATACACACAAATCCGTACGTACGTGCACGTGTACATGTGCACGTCAATGCTGCTACTAGTACTACAGGGAAGGGCAAGCTGGTACCCAACTGAGTGTGCACAACAGATGCAACAGAGCATCAACTAGACACAATCTGGGCTTGAGCGGGACACACCGATGCCAGAACTAACAAAACACACACACACACACACACATACACACACAGACATGTACAAGATGTCACAGGGTCCCCTCTCTCCCCCTACTGTACTGGTAGTGTTGCTGTGGGCAGTGGTGGCACTGCTTTCCCAGAGCACATTGCCTCGCCGTGCAGCACTCACTGTGCCATGCTATCATTATGGCATCAAAATGTTATGACGACATCATCTTCAGACAAAGATGACATCATCAACTCAAGACAATTTGTCACTTGACTAGCGCACCGCATCCGCCTACTGAATAGCCAATGCGGGGAGATAACATTGAAATCACCTGACCAGGTAGAAAGCAGCACACATTGCGACTGTGGCAACAATGGCTGCGCCGGCATAGAGCGTGACTGTTGCGGAGGTTACACTATCCTTTTTATCTGGTTTACTGCTTGCCGACGATGAAGGCGATGATTCAGATGTTGACGAAGATGACGAGGCAGCAGCTGAAGATGATGTTCCGCTAACCATCCGCCTGTACATGGCTTTCTCCTTCTCCCGTTGAGCGTTGTGACGCTGGCGTATGTCATTCAACATAGTGCTCACAGTCTGTAGCCAACAGGAGAGAGAGAGAGAGAGAGAGAGAGAGAGAGAGAGAGAGAGAGAGAGAGAGAGAGAGAGAGAGAGAGAGAGAGAGAGAGAGAGAGAGAGAGAGAGAGAGAGAGAGAGAGAGAGAGTAGAGAAAGAGAGAGAGTAGAGAGTAGAGAGAGAGAGAGAGTAGAGAGAGTAGAGAGAGTAGAGAGAGAGAGAGAGAGAGAGAGAGAGAGAGAGAGAGAGAGAGAGAGAGAGAGAGAGAGAGAGAGAGAGAGAGAGAGAGAGAGAGAGAGAGAGAGAGAGAGAGAGAGAGAGATAGAGAGATAGAGAGTAGAGAGAGAGAGTAGAGAGAGAGAGTAGAGAGAGAGAAAGAGAGAGTAGAGAGAGAGAGAGAGAGAGAGAGAGAGAGAGAGAGAGAGAGAGAGAGAGAGAGAGAGAGAGGAGAAGAGAGAGAGAGAGATAGAGAGAGAGAGTAGGAGAGAGAGAGTAGAGAGAGAGAGAGAGAGAGAGAGAGAGAGAGAGAAGAGAGAGAGAGAGAGAGAGAGAGAGAGAGAGAGAGAGAAGTAGGAGAGAGAGAGAGAGAGAGAGAGAGTAAGAGAGAGAGAGAAGAGAGAGAGAGAGAGAGAGAGAGAGAGAGAGAGAGAGAGAGAGAGAAGAGAGAGAGAGAGAGAGAGAGAGAGAGAGAGATAGAGAGAGAGATAGAGATAGAGAAAGTATGAAAGAGTGAGAGAGAATGCGCTGGTGGGAAGATACCACGCTGTCACGCACACATACTGACATGCTCATGCATGCAAAGACACAACCACTCTACTAGATCCACTTAGCC